ATATGCTGTCCGAGATATCCAGAAGCCCTACAACCACACTTCTGAGGCATGCATGCATGTCTTTGTTGACGAGTGCCGAACGTGACCGACGATGACGTTCCTTGTACTGGACCCAAGATTACTACCACCACGCCAAGCTCTCGATATCGCACGGTTCTTGGCCGTCCCCATGGTGTGTGCGCATGCGTTCCAACTTGCTTGTTTAAAGGCACTCGTGTCCCCGGATCTAGATCTTTTGCTTGCACCCATCTTCCTCTTAGCACCGCTATTCATTCACTATGGGCAAGAAGGAACCATCTCTCGAGGGCCACAGGTCCGGTCAGGCCAATGAGCCTCTCTCCAAGCCCGCGCATGCCCTACCATGGAAGGACGTCGTCAACGAGATCAAGTGTAACGCCGAAGACGGTCTGACTACTGCGGAAGCAAAGTCAAGACATGAGAAGTACGGCAACAATGACCTGGGTGACGACGGAGGAGTTTCACCAGGCAAGATTCTACTAAGGCAGGTCGCCAACGCAATGACATTGGTATGTAATTCAACCTGATACCCAATCTCAACAAATCTAACAACTACAGATCTTGATCGCTGCAATGGCTGTGTCTTTCGCTATCCAGTCGTGGATTGAGGGTGGTGTAGTAACCGCCATCATTTTGCTCAACGTCGTTATTGGTTTCGTCCAAGAGTTCAATGCTGAAAAGACAATGGATTCTCTTCGATCGCTCTCCTCTCCGACCGCTACCGCTGCACGAGACGGAAAGACTGTTACCATCCCAACAATTGAGGTTGTTCCGGGTGACTTGATTGAGCTGAAGACAGGTGACACTGTCCCAGCTGACATTCGGTACGTTGAATGGCGCTAAATTAGTTGGTACGTCACTAACTCGCTTACAGTATTATCGAAGCACTGAACTTTGAAACCGACGAGGCTCTTCTTACCGGTGAATCTCTCCCTGTCAACAAAGATGGTGATGCCGTCTTCGACGAAGAAACCGGCCCTGGTGACCGTCTCAACGTCGCCTACAGCTCCTCCACCGTCACGAAGGGACGCGCTCGTGGTGTCGTCTTTGCTACTGGAATGTACACTGAAATCGGTTCTATTGCTATGTCTCTTCGACAGAAGGGCTCCCGTGTCCGCGAAGTCAAGCGCAAGCCTGACGGCAAGGCCAAACCGCATCGTTACGCTCAGGCATGGTCTTTGACCGCTGCTGATGCCATCGGTCACTTCCTTGGTGTCAACGTCGGTACTCCACTCCAAAAGAAGCTCGCACGTCTCGCTATCCTCCTTTTTGGCGTCGCTGTTGTCTGCGCAATCATCGTTCTGGCTGCCAACAGCTTCTCCAACAACAGCGAGGTTATCATCTACGCTGTTGCCACTGGCCTCAGTATGATTCCGGCCTCGCTCACTGTCGTCTTGACCATCACAATGGCCGCCGGTACAAAGCGCATGGTTCAGCGCCACGTTATTGTTCGCAACCTGAAGTCGCTCGAGGCCCTGGGTGGTGTCACCGACATTTGTTCTGACAAGACTGGTACTCTTACACAAGGAAAAATGGTTGCCAAGAAGGCATGGATTCCCGCAAAGGGCACCTACTCCGTTGGCCAGTCCGACGAGCCTCATAATCCCACTGTTGGCGCTCTGACCTTCAACCCCAAGCAGCCCCGACACATCGATCCCGACGTAGACGAGAAGACAGAAACCTTTGAAGAGCTTTTGCAAGACAACGAGCACCTGGTTGACTACCTCAAGGTTGCTTCGCTCGCCAACTTGGCCCACGTCCATCAGACTGATGAAGGTCAATGGAACGCACGTGGTGATCCAACTGAAATTGCTATTCAAGTCTTTGCCTCTCGCTTCAAGTGGAACCGTCTCGAACACACCGGCGGAGATTCGCCTGCCTGGAAGCAACTCGCTGAATTTCCATTCGACTCTGATGTCAAGAAGATGTCCGTCATCTTCGAAGAGACCGCTAGCTCTAAGAAGTTTGTTTTCACCAAGGGCGCTGTCGAGCGTGTCATCTACTCCTGCACCCGCGTTTACAACGATGAAAGCGAAGCCGGCGTTGATCTTGACGACGACTATCGCGAGGAGATTTTGGCAAACATGGAATCTTTGGCAGCCATGGGTCTTCGTGTTTTGGCACTTGCAAGCAAGGAGTACGACGGTCCATCACCAAGCAAGGGCGAGGATCTCGATCGTGAGAGTATCGAAAACGGATTGACCTTCCGCGGTCTTGTTGGACTGTACGACCCGCCCCGACCCGAGACTGCCGGCTCTGTTCGTCAGTGCCAGAAGGCCGGTATTGAGGTTCATATGCTTACTGGTGACCATCCCGGGACTGCGCGCGCAATCGCTATTGAAGTTGGCATTGTGCCTTCAAACATGAGCACTCTCCCTAAGGAAACCACTGATGCCATGGTCATGACCGCCTCTCAGTTCGACAAACTCACCGACGATGAAATCGACGCCCTTCCACTACTTCCTCTTGTTATCGCTCGATGCGCCCCGAACACCAAGGTTCGTATGATCGACGCCCTACACCGACGTAAGGCTTTCACTGGTATGACTGGTGATGGTGTGAACGATTCTCCATCCCTCAAGCGTTCAGATGTCGGTATTGGTATGGGAACTGGATCCGATGTAGCCAAGGATGCTTCCGACATTGTTTTGACCGACGACAACTTTGCCTCGATCCTTAACGCTATCGAGGAGGGCCGCCGCATGTTCGACAACATTCAAAAGTTCATTCTTCATTTGCTCGCCCAGAACATTGCGCAAGCCTGCGTTCTGCTCATTGGTCTCGCATTCAAGGATCAGAGTGGGCTCTCAGTCTTCCCAGTGTCTCCCGTCGAAGTCATGTGGATTATCATGATCACGTCATCTCTTCCCGACATGGGTCTCGGTTTTGAGATCGCAGCTCCCGACATCCTCACTCGACCCCCTCAAAATGTAAGTTGTCTTCATCTCAAAATAGACAGCCGAACATGTACTAACAACAAAAATAGCTCAAGCGTGGTGTCTTTACTCTGGAAGTCATCATGGACATGTTCGTGTACGGTCTCTGGATTGCTGCCCTCTGTCTCGGTGCTTTCTCCCTAGTCATGTTTGGCTGGGGCGACGGCAACCTTGGAAATGGCTGCAACGAAGGTTACAACGACACTTGCGACACTGTCTTCCGCGCTCGTGCGACGACTTTCGCCTGCCTCACTTGGTTCTCCGTCTTCCTTGCATGGCAAATGTTGGACATGCGCCGATCGTTCTTTGCGATGCAGCCAGGCTCGAAGAAGTACTTTACGCAGTGGGCTATCGACGTCTGGCGCAACAAGTTCCTTTTCTTCTCCATCATCTTTGCCTTCGTTACCATCTTCCCTGTCTTATACATCCCTGTGATCAACGACACGGTCTTCAGGCACAAGGGCATTAGCTGGGAATGGGGAATTGTCTTCGTTGCTACATTCCTTTTCTTCCTCGGTATTGAGTCCTGGAAGTGGGGCAAGCGCGTCTTCTTCAGGAGACGCGACGCTAAGAGAGGCGTCGCCAGACGAGGCTCTGTGGACCTTGAGCAGCGCGTCTTCGAGCGATACCTCAGTACCGCTATCAGCACCGATGGTGAGGATGGCGAGAAGAAGTCGTCTGCATGAGAGAAGAAGTTACGTAATGAGGTACGATATCTTTCAGACAAGCCTCAATTTGAGAGGCATTAATGTTTTGGATCAGGCTTTGTCCTGCAAAAGGCGTTCTTGGTTTGTTTGCATAGCCTGCGATTGCGATACCTCATGCCATTATGGCTGCGATCAAGGCTTTTCATAGTCAGAGTACGTGTACATAGTTATTAAGATACCATCATGAACAAATTAAATTGTCACCATCCATCTTCGCAACGATCAACATGTTCACTTCAAAAATTTGCTGAAACATTTCCAGTATCCTCAACTATGATCGTACATAACAAAAGCAGCGCTAGCCAGCCTCGGTCGAACGCGTAGTCTTCAGGCGTGCCTTCTTCGGAGGCTGGCGCATACAGCCCCGCCACGACCCACACCATGCCCACTCCGCCATGCCATGCCATGCCAAACGTTCCCGCTCCATCACACCAAGACCGAAAACGTGCGTTCAGTCTAGGCGCCTAGCGTGTGCTAAAGATCTAGTCTGCATATGGAGTACGTCAGCCGAGGCATGCTGTGGCCTTGGAGTCGGCCTGAGCAGGCTGAAAAGGTGAGCTGATAGCGACTGGGGATCGTGAAGTGTTCTATAGAAGTATTGGAGGAAAATCGGACTTCATGCGGATTAGTGATTGAGCGGTTGGACGGGCAGAGATCTGGGTCTAGTGGAGACTCGATTGGGCTTATTGCTTGGGTTTCTTTTTACCGCTACCTGATGGCCGTGTCGCGCTTTCATGCAGTACTGCGAACGAACCAACTTCCCGCGACGACTCTGCGAACGGTCAGCTACGGAATTTGAGTTTGTAGAAATATTGGTCCGCAATAGAATAGCGACGACGAATGCAGCTCCGGCGTAATTTAGCCGTCCATGTCCATGTTACGTATGGGCAGCAAACACAGGCCAATGCCAGGCTCTCTCAAGCCCTATCAAGAAGTGGCGAAAAGACGTGGCTGTGGAGGCTGAGCTTGCGGACATGTTGGTGTCATGGAACGCCCGGATGAGTGGGATCCGGGGTAAGAACTAGCTAGGTAATCAATGTTAAGAGTGAGCACTACGCACCTTGGACAACAACTCTCCAGCCGCCGGAAATACTTCTGTCCAAACGAATACTAGACACATTGTACGAGTATACGACATACGACGGAAGAATTAGCCATCGCAGTGTGTAGGGTCCCAGGGACGCGCAATCGTTTGGTGCCGGTATACCCGCTTCCTTCGCCGTCATCGCACGCTGTTCCCCGCAACAGGTCGAGGTCGAGCCACATCGCATTCCCCAATCCCCCACATCAACCGAACCACGTCCGAATCTTCAAGTTACGAAGAGATCGAGAAAGCGCGATGCCTGCGGTATCTAGTCACGGATTCGTGCGCACGCTTGAAGCGCGAGAATGGAGGGATACAGTCGGTCAGTCCGGCATGACACCGACGGCTTTTAGTTTCCTGATTCCCGTCTTCGTTGTCGCTATTGTGGCGCCGTTGTAAGTCGTGTTCCGTCTATTCCGCAGTATGTTGAGCCGAAAGGGAAATGGCACATAAGGGGTGTTTCTGCCTGGAAAGCTGGGAAATGACATTAGGCTGATGATATTCGATGATGTAGTTTGTGTATATTCTGCATCCGGAAAAGACGGCAAGCCGTCCCTGTTCCAGCGCGCCCACCACCCAAGACGAAGAAGCCGGCACTTAGACGTGCAGAAGCAAGAGAGAAATTGAACGAAGTTACCGAAGTAGTGAGCCTTTCCGGAACCACATCTCGACAAAGCCGTGATGGCGCAGAGAACGACGAGGGGAGATTGGAAGTGGTAGAGTCGCGCTCGGTTTTAGAACGAGAATGGTGAGTTTCGAAACACAGCAATACTTGCGGAAAACTACATTCTAACAATCCTGCGCAGCGCAATATGTCTTTCCACTCTTCACGCTCCCGCCCCACCCGAACCCGCCAAACTTTCCCCAGAAACCCCAATAACTGATGATGCCGCCCTGCCCGCCTCCCTTCCACAATCCGACTCCCTTGACCCATCAGCCACAACCACCACTACACCCGAAAATGAAACCATCCTCAAGCTCTCCGTCTGCGGCCACGAATTCCATGCAGATTGTTTAGTCTCTTGGTTCGTCTTGCGCAAAACAAGCTGTCCGATATGCCGATCCACGTATATGAGCAAGGAAGCCATGGAGCAGCATGATGAGGAAGAAAGGATAGCTTTAGGCGGAGATGTGACGCCCGCGGTGTTGGAGGCCGGAACTGCGGTCCAATCGCAGGCAGTGCCAGTAAGCAACTGGCGTTACTTCCTGCATGGAAGTGGCATAAGGAGACACCAAGAGACACAGGCACAGGCACAGGCTCAGCCTGCAGTGGAGCTACAGAACCGCACTCCACAGACGGTAGAGCAACATGGGGCTGATGCTGTAGTAACAGCAGAGGCGGCAGTGCAGCAGCCAGAGCAGCCTTCTAGGCCAAGGTGGCGGAGGTTGTTGAGAATGTGAGCGTTAAACGACAAGAGATGATTATGGTAAATGGAGAATGATGGAACGATTTGAGACTGTTTTCCTTTCGAGATACCCCTACAGGCGTTCCGACGTTTAGTTCGCGATGAAGTCAATACACTTAGACTTGAATTTTTAGTTTATATCCCTATGCATTAAAACCTACTCTAAGGGTACCCGCCAGGTTTCCTGCTTGAGACTCTTCAGCTCAACTAAGATGTGTTCTTCAGAGTAGGCCCTACTTGTGCGTACAGATTGTAAGATACAATTCTCTATCTTACGCTCGCGCAACATTTCCTCACGAGCCAAACCAAAAGTCGTTCTCGTTCTGTGATACACCTGCAGGGTCAAACGAGCCATTACCGGCTGTCACAAGGCCCTCGAATTGTCCCCAACTAGCAAAATCTGTCCAATCGAGTAGGTCAAATGTGAAGGTTGCGTTAGTCGTACCAAATGCTTCTGCACCGTTTGGTGTCGGTGGGATATTGTTATTGCCAGTAGTGTTGTAGAGCAGATTTGACAGATTTGACGACGGTGGTACAGCATCGGGAGTTGGTGCAGACAAGGGCAGTGGAAGAATCGGGTTATCGTGGAAGCTGGGGTTGTCGCGTGTAGGCGTCTACGATGTGAGGTCAGCATGTGGATACAGAGAGCTTGTACTTGCCAACAGAAATTATGAACTCACATCAACCGATGCTGCGGGCGTCGATAGCCTCCCTGATTGCCTTACCGCCTCAGTCCTAAGTTCTTCCAGGACAACACAGTAACGGTGCGCAAGGCAGTCAGTGTCGCTGACTGTCTCCAATTGTCTTTGACACTTTACACCTGCCTCAAAAAAGCCTTCGCACTCTACTTTAGTCTTCACACCCAAGCCCTGTTGAATGCGATGGATGTATAGCACTACCACTGCACAGAATGCATAGTACTGGGTAAACCAGAAAGAGCGGAAGAGATTGGACGACATAAATACATCGTCTACGAAACGTACAAGGGACATGGCAGCTTCGAGACAGGCAGTGATGTTGGCTGATGCGTCGTAGTTTGTGGCACTCCAGTTTGGATGGGTTGGCATATGCGTCAAACTCGCGAAATCCCTCAGTAAGAAAGGTCGGTGAATAAGTAAAAGCGCGTGGTGGTACGCCAGATTGAGAACGGAACGCTGACGTTGGTAGACTGGTATGAGCAGCTGGTTGTCGATATGTGCATTTGAGGCGGAGCCAGAGAGGAATCCGACCAGCGAGTTGTGCCACGCGTGCAACTCCGAAGTGTACTTCGCCGATAGCTCAACGCGCAAGGCCAGACTGGGTGGACGAATCGAATACAAATCTCGTAGCACGAGAGAGACGATGCGTGTAAGTTTAATGTGCTCAACTGGGGCTGTCATCAACGAATAAGTAGATCGCGTTGGGAGATTGATATAATTCGGGTGGAGGTCATTGTCATTGACAATCGTTGGGAGCTCCTAAAAACTCCGAGTTAGCTACTGAAACTTGTTCCCACAGTACCAATATCAACGTACCTGATCGATATCCTCGTCTTTGAAGGTTCGTGGCCGACCAAGAGCAGCAGCAAGGTACTTATCAAGTGAGTATGCAACCCAGAACAAGCGTCTTCGACTCTCAATCTCCACATAGTCCACCTTGGTTGAGGGATCGCATTTCCTACCACGATTCAACCCTATGGCGAGGGCGAGATGTGACAGCGTGCCAAAGAGGCTCCAACAGTGGTTGATGCGGGACTGTGTCAGAAGGTAGAAGCACTGTAATAATCGTGCCTGAACACTCGCTAGTCTTACAGCGCCACGTTCCCCAGAGAGCAGGTTTTCAGCCGCGCGGAAAAATCGAGCGCTGGTAGATGTTAGTCGGTGTCGTGACAACGCAGGGATCAACGGACCTGCTAGTTTGCACTGAACTGCCAGGCGGCATATATGCCTGTGCTTGCGCGAATACCACCATTAACAACGCTGCCTTCGCTTTGCCGTCTTCCTTACTCCTCATTTCACCTTGGGTCTCATAAAACTCCTCTACAAGCTGTTCGATCGTCGGCCGATGTAGGAAGCGATGAGTGGGTGCCGCGTATTCGAAATATCGTTCTACGAGCCTCTGCGCATCAGGCTTCGGTGGTGGAACGAATATGGAAAGATCAAACTCTGGGAGCGGAGCGTCTCCGAAAGTAAAGATGGTAGAGTCATGTGAGAGGGATGAATTCAGATGCAAACGCTTCTGAATACGAATAAGGAAGGAAGCTGCGCTCGAAGACCCAACGTAGTGACCTTCTTGGTCTCTTTGAGCTCCTTGTGGTACAGGAGAGTCTCGAGAGGAAGGGCGACTGCTGGCATTGGTACCCATGTTGAGAGTATCTGGATTTGGATTTGGATTGTCGGAATTTGAGTAAGACGGTGGATCGATCGGAGTTGATGGGCTTGGGTATATACGTGGGTATTGTATTGCCGATGCTGCGTACGTATCTTTCGCAGGTGGTTCTGATGTTAAGCTTTCTTTTCGTCCTTGTAGTAAGGGATCCGTAGCTACCGCGGAATCGTCGACAATAACAGAGGGAAGTCGACCTCGTGTATACGATGCAGTAAACTCACACGGCAGCCCTGATCTCAGACAGAGTGCACAAGGACATCTTCCAGTACATCTTACTTTTTTCCTGGTTCCGATGTTAGCGAGTCCTTGAATACAGGCAGCACAGCACGTGCACGTGCACGCCGAATTTCAACAAGCTCACTTCTTACATCGGTCGCAAGCCCTACTGACTCTGCTCCTCTCCCGCTCTTCTCTCCTTCTCTTGGCAGGTGGTGATTTTGGCTCATCTGGGCTTGCGCTTGCGGGCGTGGCGGTTGTGACCGCTTCAATACCATTGGCGGGTGTCCATCGAGCAGTGGACACATGCTTCGGCTCGGCAGAGGCAGAGGCTCCTTGAGAAGAATTTCTTCCGTTCATGATCGGATCTGTGTAGTCTTTCGTCCCTTGACGATGTTCATGTTCACAAAGTGGAGTCAGAAGTCCAGAGCTCGGATAAGAACAGATCAACAGCCGGAAAAGCCGTGCGCTAAACCGAAAATGATGCATCGCGCACGAGACCTCAGCAAGCAGGGCTATGATGCGATAAGGAGCTCAAATTTAATCCGTAGTACTCTCAGAGTGTATGTGGCCGATCTGTTCCTCATCCAAGCCTACGTCTACTCCGTGCCTCATGAGCGCAGCCATTTCCCCTCTACCCATGCCAACCCCTCCTTGAGCCACGGCTCCTCGTCCTCCTTGATTGGGATAGTGAAGCCATGTTCTTGTCCTGGCCTAATCTCCAACTGGACCTCAATATTATCTCCTAGCGCTTTGCACTTCTCCACAAACTTCTTACTATCCTCTACACTAACCGCTGAGTCCACATCGCCATGGACAATCCACGTCGGCGGCAACCATTTCTTATCCTCAATAAGCCCGATCGGCCACATCTTCTCATCTTTTCCGAAATAAGTGAGGTAGTGTCCGTATGCCGCTAGAAGGTAGTTCAATGACAATCTCGCCGGTGGCCATCCTGAAGAAACAACAACACCTGGCTTGATGGTGGAAATATGCTCAGCCAGCTCGGATTCTGGAGGAGAAGGTGCGTCGAAATACATGTCACTTTTCTCGATACGCAGATAGTTCGTCATGGGGAATTCTGCCAGGATAGCTTTGATGCTGCCGCGAGGCTGAGTGAGACCTGCCATCAAGGCCATGTAACCACCCGCCGACTCGCCTGAAACCAGGGTTTTCTCGTAGTCTAGCTCGATACCGCCTCCTTTCCTGTGAGAGGCAAGAAAGTCGCTGACTGAACCTTTGTTGAACCAGGTCCAGAAGTCACTTAGGTCTTCGAGGATGTCTGCGCCACTATGTTCAGGAACAAAGCGGTAGTTGGGAGCTACTACGATTGCGTTGTTGCGGTGGATGAAGGGGACGAAATATGCGCTGAACCAGCCGGGAAAGAGACAGTCTCCTGTAATCTGCAATTCGTCGTCAGTGTATAGCTCGTGAGTTCTTGCGATGATAGTGAGACGGCTTCAGAATCAACATACCAGTCCACCGCCGTGGAACTTGACCATAACTGGAGACTTTCCGGGCTTGAGGTCTTTCGGCACGATGATACCAACTTCGATTTCATGTTCGCCGATCTTCTTATACGAAGTCCGAAATACGTCGAAACTGTCGAATCGATTGGTTTCCGTCGTGTCGTCAAGGGGTGCCATGTTGTTCTTCTTATTCTTCCTTGTTCTGAGGTGACCTCTAAATGTTGCAAGAGGTGCTGATCTGGGTGACTCTGGACTGAGCACACGCCGGGAATTTAAGCTTTCTAAACTACGGGCGTATTCTCACTATCAAGTTAACGACTTTACCAGTTGTGACTAGTAGTGCTGCTTTGCGTCTAGGTACAGTCGGTCTAGCGGGTAAGTAAGACGGAATCTCGCCTTCCGGTGGATTTTAGAAGCGAGGAAGCACGACTAGAGGGGCGCTTGTCAACAGTTCATAGCAACGATGGACGAACATGGGTAATTTATCATCTCTTCCTAGTAGTGTTTTGTGAAAAACGTATTGTAATCATACTGCTTATGAGTAATTATTTGCAAAGCCGTCCCAGATTGGACAAGCTTAGGCTACTAAAGTACTGGAGACTTTCTGGAATAGGTCGGCCTTGCGAAGAATAACCGTATTACTCATCAGTTATTCTGTTTCAACTGTGACATGAGTATATGTGATTACTCATTCCTGAGTAATTACTGCCAACTGTCCGAACATCCTGACAAACTTTCTAGATGCTCTTCGTAAAGGTACCAAGTGAGATCGACGAGTTCGCCGATTGTTTAGGCATGCTTGCGCGATTAGAATCGGGAATCTTATTCGTAGATATCGGCTTTGAAGCATACGCACTGCTCGCGGTGGACCTCTTAGCGAAAGGCCAAAGGCATGGCATCGTAGAGATTTGTGCTGTACGCTGACCTGTTGCCTTCCGTAAGGTAACGTGACTAAAAACTTCACGGATAATATCTCGCAGCACATAGATCTAGACGGAAGAAGATCCGAGTTACTAGCAAGTGCATGTCTTCAATTGTCCTAGCTCATCTCGATGCCCACTTCCTGCCTCCAATGTCCAACAAGCACCCTGCAGAGTCCGTCATCTTTACACCACATCTCCGTTCACCTTGCTCATTCTTCTGATTTGTGCGAGTCCTCTAGATGACGAATGCGTTACCGTGAGCTGATCATCAGAGATGCGCGATAACGTAGTCAGTCCACGCGTGTCCCAGGGTGTGTAACGGGGTATGGACCGGTAGGTGCGAGCAGGATTGGGGTAGGTCCAAGGATGAGAGAAACTAGTTTCCACCACGAAGAGCAAGAACTAGATGCAGTGTGGCGCCGCCCTCGAGTTGGTAGTCTGCTGCAGTCTTCTCGTCGTTCCTGAAAATAATTATGTTAGCCTTGTCTCGACTATGTCGCATACGCAGGCAAGGACTTGGGATTGGCGAAAGGTGAACGGGGTCTAGGGTTTTTTAGACATACATTTGCTTGCCTCCGTAGATGAGACGTTGTTGCGCGGGCGGAATTCCTTCCTTCTCCTCAACGCGCTCCTTTATCCTCGAGACCTGTGTACTGTCAGCGTTACGCTCCTCGAATTTACCGCACATCGCTCTCCGTGTTTCCAGTTGGCAGACAGTGATGCCATGTGCGTATACGGTGACAAAAGCTGGGTAGGTGTACCTTGTAGTCGGCCTCGATATCAAGCTCGATCTCCTTGCCAGTGAGGGTTCGCACCCTGTCGCCTGTCAGCAACTCTGCATCTTTTTTTCTTGCTCCCATGTGACACCCATAGGAGTCCGACGTACTTGATCTGCATCTTGTCGGCTCTTCTATTGTTTGCGCGCCGGCGAGTGTCTCGAAGGTGTCGCGAGTGTAGCGGTGGCGAGCTCCGTAAAGGGAAGTCGAGGGTGTGAGAGCGTGAGGGTGAGCTCGTGAGCTGGGTAAGTAGGCGTGGGTGTTTCTACGACCAGGTGATGGCGCAAACGTTTGTAGGCAGCAAAGTGGTTGTGGATTCCCTTGGGCGATACCGTCAGGCTGCAGTGACGGCGAACCACGGACCATCATGGTGGGGTCCACGCAAGCGCCACGAGGCGGGGCAGTTTGCTGTGGCTGGTGCGAGCTAACCCTTTACGGAGGTGGCTCAATCTCGAGTGAGATATGTCTACACTGATATTACTTAAGCTTTGAGAAGAAAGAAGCATCCTAACGCTTATGTGTTGCTCAGCGATGTATACCTGCCTATAGAGTATGCGATGGCTTTTGGTCTTCTTCAAGATACCAAGACCAGTGTTTGGCTGCTGACGCAACACAGTGGAGAGGAGTAGTTCACGTTCAGCTCTTCTCCTCATGACTCTCAACTCAAGTCGTACACCCAGACCATTTGACTAGCAGTAGTAGTCAAGCATCCACACCGCTCTTGTTCAAGACGCCCAAGTCCGCATGAAACCCCTTTCTCACTCCAAGCATCCTCGTCCGGCTCCGAAAAACAGAAGAAGAAAACAGTACACAGTCCTCTACGATATCCCGGTGCATAAACCTGACTGGCTAAATACCTCCACATCCCGAGCAGATCATCCGAAGGACCAAGATGCTCTGACTTCCCAATCAGCGTAATCACACCACTACTGCAAGTCCAAGGTGAAACACCCACCGCCGCAAGGCCTCATCTCACCGCCCCTTGCATGATGCACAGCTAACCCAGAGATACAAGATGCAGGAAAAGAAAATAAGACTGATGTATGTGACATGTCATTCGAATGGGTAATATCTGCTAGAGTCAGGTTATTACTGGATAGGGAAAGACGTAAGTGATCAACTGCCAAGGGCACTAAACACGGGGTTGTGACTATCCGACAAAAATATCTCATGCCGATCTTTGGTATACACAACGGCCATGCAACGGCGTTGCCGCGAACGCTACCTACTTGCTTGCATCTAATCCCTGCCATCTAACCTCCTTCATCCTTGCCCGAACCGCAGATTCTCCATAATGCAAAGTCGCCACCCCAAAAGTATGTACATGTCTAAGAAGAGAAAACTAAACTGACTACCATCAGGCGAGCCAGGGGATACCGAATGTAAAGCCGAGTGAGATGCCGAAAGAGTGCCCACCTAAAAATGGGGAACAGGGGTATATGTGCACAATCTGATAGCCAACAGAGAAGCCCAATGGGACGCTTCGTGGTGATAGTACTGAACAAAGGAAAGTGAACCTTGATGTCTGCGAACATATATGCTGCCGTTGAGAACGTCTCAGGGATGTGTCCTCGTCCTGCGATGCGGTATTGATGCGGTGTCGGAAGGTACCTGATATGCCTGATACCATGAATGGTAACCGATTCGATAGTGTACTTGACAAGAAAAGTTCGGCCAGAATGCCGGACGTAACACGGGCCTCCAGTGCCCGACTAGGAAGAACAAGTCTAAAGTTGTTTGCAACAGGAAGCTTACACCGAAGCCCATATCGAAAAGAACACCGGGTATAGTACAGGAAAGGATGAAGTGTTCGGATCCAGCCGTTCAAATCGAGTTATGCAAGTCAAGTCGGCGCTTAACGAGCATCGTTATAGGCCGTAGCCAAGAAAAGAACTTGATGCAACTGGTTAAGTATAGCAACAACAACAACAACCGAAATCGTAAAGTGAGCCACGCGACAAGGCGAACGAGCAGCGACAACGGGGATAGTGCCGACGCTGCAGCCGTTGCGAGATGTATCCAATGTATACAAGTATCGCATTCTTCGCAACGTGCGGGGTTCGCAAGCGCAGAACAGCAACCGGGATGCGGCAATACTGCCGCTGACAAAGGCACCAAGCTGCATGGAAGATGATGCAGCCGGCAGGCGGGGAAGCGGAATATGCAGAACAGCCGCCGTCTGATAGCACAACCTAGCTGCGGTATGCCAACAAGAAAAATGTTGAAGTCATACTAAGACTCGACTGGGTGTCGATGCGCCGCGATAAAACGCCAGATATAACCAGCATGTTCGATTGCAAAAAGGAAAAGGCCCAGATATGCAGGCTGGAAAGTAGATCGGGGCCTTTCTCAAAGGGGTAGACGGCGGGATCCGGAAATAAACTCCGTGTCCGCAATACTAGCAGCAAATCTGATGTCGTCTTGGGAGCAATCTAGATCCTACTACCAGCAAATAAACACTGGGTCGAAATGCGTATGTGTGTATGTGCAGCTGTGGAAACGCGACATTGCGATGTAATTTCATGAGATGAGGGAAGACGTTCCTTGGGTGGGGTTGCGGGTCCGTGCACTAAGATTTTGAGATGAAGTGGAAAGGCCGGAATTTGGAGGTCTGGAAGTCTCGATGTTCTTTGTCTCATTTCGCTTGCGGATCTGTTGTAAATAATCGCACCTTTTTTGACCTTCTGTCAGCAAGCAGGTTCTTGATGCCCGATTGCCATGCCAACTTCTTCCTTCCTCGCGTTCGCGTTCGCTCGGACGAATTGCAATTGGAAGCGAGCTTATCGAAGGACCGATAGCGATCACAATAACAACCAATCCGAATTCGAACGGTTGCGATGCTGAAACGACGTCCCAATCTAATGGTCACCAGATTCTCTCTTGGGAGATGACGTATATCCTCGATCCCATTGCTGATGTGTTGTGTATTTTGGTGTTTCAGGTTGAGCAGATGTTGATGTTGGCGCGTAGTTCTGTTGACCGTGGCCTCGGGTGCCATCTCGTTGAGGTGATGTTCCATATGTCTGATCAGATTTGGATTTTGCCTTATCATCTGCATCTCTTGCTTCTTCTGCGATGTCGCCTTGTCGCAGAATTGTCTCATGCGCAAGGCCAGAAACGGTGCCTCGCCGGCTTAGTGAACCACTGGAGCCCTCCGCCGCTCGTGTGGATGCATCTGATCGGTTTCGTGCATGTCCTCTTCGTCCAGGTGTCGATGTTGATGACGACGATATGTGCGAGAAGGACGGCGATGTGTAGGATCCAGGCGCCGATGTAGGCGGCGGTGGAGGGGGGTGAGGGCCTTGAGCCTTGCGCTTCTTTGGGGAGCTGGTGTATTCTAGGTCAGACGCATGCGACGCAGCACGTTGCCGTGACTGGTGAACAGGCGAAGTTTTGTATTTACCTGATGGCGTAGCTGGCGGGTTTCCACTTGCACTCTTTTGTTCCGAAGACGATGATGGTGGTACCCAATGATGAA